ACATCATCAGTAATTTCAATAAAACCAATCATCTTGTATGACACTCTTTGATTCTTTGCTGTGTTCTTTGTCTATTCCACTTTCTTATATTTGAATTTCATTCTTTATCAAACTTCAGTCATCTTTATTGAAGGTACATTCTAAAGACTCTATGTCTTCCAAGCAAATGTTCCAAATGGTTCAGTTTTTTTTATCAGAACTCCTCTATATAATTTTTTTTGTCAGATATATCAATGCCTGTTCATATTTTTGAGTATGCTGATGATAATATCACAGTCAGATATATCAATGCCTCCAAGACCTGTTCATATTTATTGTATGCTGATGCCACAGTGCCTACCTACTCAACCCTGATCACCTTAAATGAGGTTCTTGAAACAATCAATTTCTTGTAAGGTTAAGATATTGTCATCTCATAATCAATACACACAGAACCAAAGCTACTCTGTTTGGTCCAAGAAAAAGGAAATACCAATCAAAATTCTGATCTGTTCAATGTTTGACTATACCATGTTCACATACAGCTACGTAACACAGTTATACATTTGTATGTCGCCTTCAATAAACATCCTGACATGAAAGGCACACCTTGCAACAGTCAACTTCAAAGTCATGCAACGACTCAAACTTCTGCAGGCTCCAACTTGAACCACTTAGGGTTTGAGTTCACATCTTCTTACAAAGGCCTTCATTCATTCTTGCTTTTCCATCATACTTAATGGATATCTGTTTTTTTGTTTTTAATCTTTTCAACATGTATGAAGATGTCTCTTCTGATGGGTTATACTGAACATGTTGCTTCCTCTTTGAAATTCTACCTCCATACATTTATCTACTTGAAGATATTTTTCTTTTCTCATGTCACACTTTTAGAAGTGATTAAGAAAATATTTGAACAGCTGATAAACATAATTTCATACAATTAAGTTTCCATTTTCGAATCCTATAGAGTACAATAAAATTTACATATGTTTATCCATAGACACTATACTCTAGTTTTATTTCATGGTCAAAGAGGGGTCTTAACCCTCCACAGGTCCATCAGCCACATGGGTTGGAGTAAAATGATAGATAAAGAAAAAATTATCTCATTGTTTAGCACAAAAGACAAATTCTGCTATTGAATAAACATCTTTTTACACACCTCTGATTTTGCACATCAAATGGCCAAATTAAGTTAAATGTGCAGTATATATGAATAAGAATAGTTTCTAATGCTTTGCCAGCTTTCAACATTTAAACAGCAACTTTTTAGTTTTATAGTACATACATAAGTTGCATTTCAGAGAATATTTTTCTGTCATATCACTGGAAAACACTTTATCTCGAGTATTCCATATCTCTGTAGGTGTTTCAACACAAGGTTTTATCACAACCTGGTTATCCTGCATATATCTTCAGTTTGCAGATGACACAAATCTATGTATAACTTGCCCTACCGTAATCACTCTTAACAGGGTATTTCAACAGGTTGTTTTCTATAATGGAGTAAAATCTTGTCTTAGATTGAATAGTACTAAAACCAAAGCTATACTGTTTTGTCTGTGCTAGAGGAAATTTAACCCCTGTTGTGATTTTTGACTCTTCACAGCTCATCTTATTCCATGATAAAGTTTTTATTATACTTCAACATCACAGTTCAATTGAAGTACAAAATGATAAATCAACGTTTAAAAAAAATTAGGACTATAACTGGAAGCAATTGTTGTTCACAAACATCTTTTCACATAACCTATCACTAAGCTAAAGTTTTATCATTCTGCTCCAATCTATAAGCTAGTCCCTGCTGAACTGGAAAGCCTTACAGGCTTATAATAATGTAAATCCAACTGTATTTCATATATATTGAGGGGTAGGAAGAAACATCTCAGAATGAAAAGTACATTACAAAATTTGTCTATTATAAAGTTAAATACTGTATGCACTATGTACCTGAAACTGTGAAAGTTGTTCTTAGGTTTCAATGGTCATCACTGTTTGATGAATAGAACAAACAACATGGCTGCAGATAGACAGTCAATAACATTTTAATAGAAAATTGGACAAATACTTCCTTTATAAATTATCACAGAAAAAGAGAGCAGCACTATAGTTTTCAACCTTCTAGAAAATTTTTTTTTTCAAATAATTTTGTGAAATAGAAGTTATTTATTCATTTGTACACCACTCAGGCTTATTTTTTCTGCATAAAAGTACAAAAATTTATTTCTGTATATCTATTTCATAAATTATCACGTGTTATAGAAAAACTTATTTTCCAGCATAAAATATTGAAACTAAACTGCAGTTTTCTTCATACTTTATTTTCTTCTACATACCCTGTACACACATACATACATACACATAATCTTAGGAATTTTACTGTAATTAACTTATTTTTTATAAGTGATTGCTTGAAAAGTGCTGGTATACAAAACAAAATAGGTATAAAGGAAAAAAAAAAAGAGTTTAGTGTACTAAATTTAACTTTTAATACTACTTTATAATGTTTGTTGGAACATTGCTCTTATAATTTTTTAAAACTCATATAATGTCTTCCAACAAGCAAGCATTTGTGAATATAATGTGAATAACAGATTAATTCCTGTTCCAATATGAAAACAAACATTATTGGAAAGTATCAACATCCCTTGACATGACAGTTACCAAGATACATATACCACAGGTGTTTACAGGTAAACCATAGATAGGGACAAGTACCTCAACTATAAATAAAATCACCCCAACATGATAAAGATGGGCATCATATACTGTCTAGTTTCCAGAATGAACAAGATTTGTAATATTGAAAAGTCTAAGAGGATTAAAACAAAATACATCATTACAAATCTCCTTAACAATGGATACCCAGAAAATTAGATAAAGATGAATACCTAGGATAAATACAAAAATAAATAAAAAATTACAAACATAGCCATATTCCTCTATGTCAGAGATCTCTCTTAAAACAAACATAAAATATGTAGGCAACAAAGTCAAACAGTATTCATAAACCACAGCACAATATGATCACAATCAATACACACTTAAAAACCCAAAGGAGAGGTAAACAACATATATATAACAATCCCTGTGAACATGGAATTCACTATATTAAGAAACTAAAACACCAACAAAACTTAGAATTCGGGAGCACATTAAACATACATCTATCTACAACATTACATCATGCCAGAAAAGACAATAGAATAAATCAAAATAATACTGAAACAGGGCATGAATCTCACATTAGAAAAAAAAAAACTTAAATAGGATATGAGGCTCATACAGAAAAAGATATATAACATAATCAGTTGATTCAAATTCTAATGGGGGAACCACAGCTAAGTGCTAATGCACCAGACTACCATCAAGCAGACCCAGGATCAAACACAGATAATAGTACTTCTTAGGACTTCTCTGAAGACAGCAGCCAAAATGTGGGATACAAAGTCATTAGTAATTACTGTCCAATTAACTGTGTGTGTTTGTATATATAGAAGTAAAAATAAAATTTATAGTTAGACTTAGGTGATGATATAGACTACTAGTCTTGAAAACAACATGAAAAGTGTCACAAGTCTTAAGCTTTATTTACCCTAATCTTCAGATTTTGTTATCTATAAGATGTTTCCTCATGATATAGACTACTAGCCTTGAAAACAATATGAAAAGCGTCACAAGTCTTAAGCTTTATTTACCCAATCTTCACATTTTGTTATCTCTAAGATGTTTCCTCATGATATAGACTACTAGCCTGTACACACTATTTTAAATAAACTTAATAGTAGAGTATTGATTTTACTTCATCACTACCACATAAAAATAGTGTCGTTTTGATAGACATACATAGATAGAAATACATATAAAAACTTCATTTTTTTCACTTCTTTTCTGCATGTACTATAAAACATATTTTGAAATGAATACTAATAAACAAATTTTACATTTGGAACAAAAACTCAAAATAACAGAAAAACTATTTCAGGATTCTTTAGATAACCTTTATAACATTGAAAATCTGTGCTCACATCAATAAAGAAAATTTGTAGTAACCATAAAATGTGGTAATTAGGGATAAAATGTACCTTATCTAATTTTAACACTATTACAAATAAACTGTTGGTTTGATTGCCACATGATATTAACTTTTGTGTATCAACTTTCATTGAAGTATAAAATTACTTTCATAGATGATACAGTTTGCTTTTTATCATATCCGTTACCTATAAGTTAACATCTGCTTACCCTCTATTCAGTATTGGAGGAAAATTGAATACCAAGTTGATTAGGGAAACCTGATAACTTTGTTAAAAATTCCTGGACCCTATAATTTTACCATGACATTCACTTTGAATGTAATATTAACATAATATTTTGGGACAACATGGGACCTATTGGTCCATCTCGGCTGTTCCATCCTCTAAACTAAATTAAAATGATTAAAAAAAATAAACAAATTTTAAACCCAGCCCTTTTCATTCATATACTTATCAAGCTTTTTCTTAAACTCACTTAAATTTACTGCCCTTACAACATCTGAAGGCAACCCATTCCAAAGACCAACAACCCTGTTAGAAAAATAAAACTATCTTAGCTGAAGATGACTCCTACCTTGCCAAAATTTATATTTGTGTCCCCCCTAGTCCTACTCTTCTCATTGTTAAATATAAAAAAAGATGATACATCAACACTATCAATTCCCTTTACAATCTTAAACACCTCAATCAGATCCCCCTAACTCTTCTTTTTACAAGAGCAAACAATTTGAGAGATTTCAGCCTCTCCTCGTATGATAAACCCTCAGTTCCAGGCACCATTCTAGTAACCCTTCTCTGAACTCTTTCCAACAATACAATAGTCCTTCCTAGGGTAAGGCGCCCAAGACTGAACACAATATTCCAAATGTCGCCTATCCAGTGACCT